AAAGTTCTGCAATTGTCTCTGATCTCCTTTTCTCCATAGGAAAGGGAACAATAATCCTTTCTCCCCCACGTTGTATTAAGATTTTTCACCAAGTTGAGGATAACTGTGGAACTCTTGATCTGGTATAACAATGCAATAATTTGTAATAAAATTGCTGCGATGCAGCACTACTGCAAAACACAGGGGGTATAGATACAATACAAAATTCAGGTGCATTTCCATGGCCAAATTTAAGGTTTTAAGGAAAATTTTGAAATGTTGTTTACCGTCCACCTCTTATAACAGTGGGATGGACCCAAGTGATTCTGATTGGTCGGCACTGGCAAATGACTTCTTTGACCATTCGGAATCTCCCTGATATGTCCCAGAAGCCCTACAGAAAGGGAAGAAGAGCAGGGATTTCAAATTGCTGGACCTCTACATCAGCTGTGTGGGCACTGCCAGCTCATCACCCATGGAAGTATTTACAGCAGAGCTGGCGGTGGGGTGGGGCGGGTGTAGGGTGTTAGTTTACCTTTTCATATTTCTTAAAAGGTGGACTAACCTTTTAAAGTGGAATTATGGGCAAAATCAGAAATGACATTAATGATGCAGTCTGTTATTAGCTTTAACATAGCAGTTTTTTTTTCCTATCCTTCATGTAACATAGCTTTGTTATCTGTTGATCCTTCCAGCAGATCTGTTTTTTCCACTTCCTGTAACAGGGTAACAACACTTTTCACTTTACCCTATGGATAGGTTAGTCTTAGATGGACATATTATTTTAAATGGACTTTAAGCATGTGACAAATATATTAACCAATTGCAGTAGAATTTTTTTTTAGTGGCCTTCCCACCCCTCGTAAAAGCATTCTGTGGTGGATCGCTTTTAAGAGAGCATTTGACAGGTGGTGAGGAGGTGATATACCTCCTTACTATCTGTTTTAACCCCAAAAAGGCTGAATCACCAATGCATGCGGTTGCAGGGCAGTTGTGGTGTGGCTCTATATAATTTATCAGGTTGGTACTGACTGCCAAATTCAGTCTGCAATTTAATTGTAAATGTGTACAGCCCTAAGCAGCTGCATGCACTTCTTTGGGTAGCTGGGCAGGGGTGGTAAAACCTCAGCTTAGCTGCCTCCTGGCTGCCCATGTGAAGGAACTCTTACAAAAAAACATTTAAGGGCCCTTGGGGAATGCAAAACCAACTTGACGCAAGTCAAAAGGAGGTCAACTTCTGGTCAAATGCACCTGTCAATACCCTCAGGAATCTTTCAAACCGATGTCACCCTGATGTCCTTAACACAAGGCCAATACCCATCAACACAGGCTCTTGGCCATATGAATAAAAGATAACCATTGTAAGCACCTCTGCCAGTATTATATGGTTGTCCCAACCCCTGTAACTGTTGCTTTTGCTGGACATCTGTGCCTCTTGCAAGAATTGGAAACATCTGCTGGCAGGATCAACAAGTAAAAGAACTATGTTGTAGAGGATATTGAACTAACAAAGAAAAACTGCTAGTGAAAGATTACATCATATATATAATTTTTTATTCCCCGCTTTATGAAGATGTCTAAAGATGTGTGTTGCATTACGTATTTGTGACTGTCACTGCACCTCTACAAATCATACCGCCCTGTCTGTTCGCATAATAACGCTTTGTACATAAAACAATTTGTAGACTCCACCTCTGAAAATTACGATTTAACATACATGAGTGCATAGAGACACCGTAAATAAGTCTGTTTAACAATGAAGCCTCTTCATTCCTAGCCGTTTAATAATGATGGTGTTATCACAGTATTCGGTGAGCACTGAAGCAGCATTTTTTACAGAAGGTCCCGCTGGTTTATTGTGAGCGGTTGGCGGTGGCAGAGTAATAAGCACTAGGTTGCACGCTGTGGAGTCCCAGTCTCAGAATAAGATGGAATCTTTTGTTGCGATTTCCATGGGTCTCTCCTGTTCTTTTTGCTTGCTATACCTGACATGCTGGTAATAATAGATAATCCCTATTGTGGCCATGTTCAGGAAAATACCAAGGATCAGGAGGAAAAACGAGTATCCATATGCATTCGTACTAGTCTCAAATACATCGTTTGTTGTGTCCATTGCTTTAACCAAAGTCGTCGGCATGTTATTCACTTCTATATTTACCACAAACACAATGATGGCAAGGAGTACAAGGATCCCTAAGAAAAAGGTAAAGAAAACATGTTCAAAAATAATACAAATGGTCCAACTAAAGGAAATGTGCATTGATAGAACACATAAGCTGCAATTGCTGGCCTTCTTCTAAAAATTCTATTTCCCTGCCTGTAATGATAATTAATGAATCAAATAGGTTTGTGTTAGTGACCCAAGTATTTCAAATCATGAGTTCTAACCAGGGGCGGACTGACCATTTGGAAACTCGGGCACTACCCGAGGGCCCGGGGTACCTTTTTCATAGGCTTTTTTGAGTTTGGGCAAGGACACAGGGGCCCCATGATCCCCTATTGCCCGGGGGCCCCATGAGTTGTCAGTCCGCCCCTGGTTCTGACTATACCCTGACATACTAGATACTTGTTGCAGGTCATTTATGTAAAGGCAAACATACTGTGCATATACCGTGTATGTATTATAATCCACTATGAATAGAAACTTGGAGCAATAGACAATAAACAAAGGTTTTTTAATCCAAAGTAACTTCATGTAACACAATGAACTAAAACTATAGGAAAGACAGTTTCAGGCATGCCCACCTCTCAAGTTCAAATGTATTTTGTATGTTCACATTTGATCTTGAGTAAAGGTACAGAAACTCGAAACTATTATTCCTAAAGTTTTCATTCATTGTATTACATGAAGTTACTTTTGGATCACTCCCAGTTCCTTTCCTTAGTGGATTACCTCTAGGACATTATTTGGAGTCTGATTAGTTGTTGCAATTTTTTGCTTTCTACAACATGCAACTCCCAAGATATGTATTTCTGTGCATATAGTTCTGAGGATTCCAAAGTCTTGCCATACAGCACAGCCAGGAGGATGACACCACTTTATCATTACAAGAATGCAGTGGGGTTATCTTCCCACTCTCAATCTGTGATTGGCCAATAAAAGAGCATCAGTTGACCAATAAAGTACATTTTCTGTTCACTCTGCTTTCTACTCCTATCAGCATGTCCTCTTTAATACACATTTGCATGCAACTCACCTAATTGTCTCTCAGTGCTGCCTGAGTCAGATATCTTACTAAGCCACAAAGGCCATGGTCTGGGGCAGCATGAGTGCTAGGGGCAGCATCTTCCCTATATTGAAATGTATGATGCCTACTGCTACTTTAAGGCTTACACAGTCTATTAGCCGTGAACACCCCCTCCTCCCCTCTCATCTACAAACTTTCATGTACACCTGAGAGCTCCTATACTTGTCAATGGTCCACCCTGTATAGGAAATTTGTAAATTCTGTATAAAATTGTATTCTATTTTGTATGCTTTGCCTATGTATTGTACACTGCACTCATTGTGCACACAGCACTAATAATGCTTTCATTACATATTTACATTCCTTCAAGTCCTTATTAGACATTAGCCTTCCTATGTAACGCCCCTTGTTGCCATAGAAGTACAATTGTAATATTAATGTGAAACCTACATAATCATGTGTATAACAAAAACTTCAAATGCGTCGAATAAATAGAACAGTTATTTGGAAAGATGCCGCTTGTATCTTTTTGTGTCTGCTCCCTACTGCAAAAGTTATTAATTTGGAACCACTAATCAATATGAGGTGTCCAAAATACTTTGGACTCACAGAATTAAACTGGAAGGCCTGAACCTATCATCTCTACATGGACATGCTGGAAGCCATTTTGCTCTTTATATTCTATTTTCATGGTTTCTGAACAAAGATTCGAACAGCAGACATTCCCAGGTTCTTACTGCATACTTTCCCAAGGTGGGGGGGATATGATTGTACCAGGCAGCAACAAAATAAAGACTGTACATGATACCAAGTTGCAAGATAAATTGAGAACTCCATATCTTGATTGAACAAAGGACAAAAGGACTATTCACAATGATTTTTTTTCTTTTTCCATGAACCTCTGGAAAAGAGTACATATTAAACTTTACATTGTATACGGTGTATTTTAATAACTGTCAATTGTATTATTATTGGTATTGCATGAAGTGAATAATTAAGTAATTTAGGTTTTATATTATTATATTCTATCTCCATATACATATACATATATATTTTATCTATATTAATTGGTTTTAACAATATTACATATTGGTTTATATGGTGGATATTATGTTTTCAACATTATAAATAATTTGAGTCCATTATATTACAACGTCTGTATGTTACAGAAGAGGTTAGATAATTAAGAAGTCTCAGTACAAATGACCTCAGCGATTGTGAGATGTATAGTTAGAATTTTTTTTTCTCCAGAATCACTTAGGTAATACATTATTTTCAGTGACCTTTCCTTTTTCAGGAGATGTATCTGTGTAATTGAAATTAGGGTGTAATATTGAGATTATCACTCGAGTATTCATTTCCGATATGATGTTAACAATTTTATTAATGATATAGATATATTTTAATTGGTTTAGACAACCTTTAGTTGGAAATGGAATATAGGTTATTGGGAAAATCTGTAATTATTATTATACAGGATTTATATAGCGCTGTAACGTACCTGGTGGTAGAATCTGAAGTGCAGAGGAAGGCCTCCCTTACAGCTCTGGCTCAGGGGCCCCGATAAAGTAACAGGGAGCGCCAGAGCACAGAAGTGCATGAGTGCCTGATAGGACTTCTGCTGATGGATGTTGATGTGCGTCTGGAATTAAGGAGCAGTTGGTAGATGTCAAGCTGGCAGAAGTGCAGGAGCAGACTGGCAGATGGCACGCTGGCAGAGGTGCAGGAGCAGACTGGCAGATGGCACATTGGCAGAGGTGCAGGAGCAGACTGGCAGATGGCACACTGGCAGGCAGAGGTGCAGGAGCAGACTGGCAGATGGCACACTGGCAGGCAGAGGTGCAGGAGCAGACTAACAGATGGCATGCTGGCAGAGGTGCAGGAGCAGACTGGCAGATGGCATGCTGGCAGAGGTGCAGGAGCAGACTGGTAGATGGCACGCTGGCAGAGGTGCAGGAGTAGACTGACAGATGGCACGCTGGCAGAGGTGCAGGAGCAGACTGGCAGATGGCACACTGGCAGGCAGAGGTGCAGGAGCAGACTGGCAGATGGCACGCTGGCAGAGGTGCAGGAGCAGAGTGGCAGATGGCACACTGGCAGAGGTGCAGGAGTAGACACATAGGCAGAGGTGCAGGAGCAGACTGGCAGCAGATGGCAGGAGCAGACTAACAGATGGCATGCTGGCAGAGGTGCAGGAGCAGACTGCAGATGGCATGCTGGCAGAGGTGAGACTGGTAGATGGCAGAGGTGCAGGAGTAGACTGACAGATGGCACGCTGGCAGAGGTGCAGGAGCAGACTGGCAGATGGCACACTGGCAGGCAGAGCAGGAGCAGACTGTGGCACGCTGGCAGAGCAGGAGCAGACTGGCAGATGGCACACTGGCAGGCAGAGGTGCAGGAGCAGACTGGCAGATGGCATGCTGGCAGAGGTGCAGGAGCAGACAGGCAGATGCAGCATGCTGGCAGAGGTGCAGAGTAGACTGACAGATGGCACACTGGCAGAGGTGCAGGAGCAGACTGGCAGATGGCATGCTGGCAGAGGTGCAGGAGTAGACTGACAGATGGCACACTGGCAGAGGTGCAGGAGCAGACTGGCAGGTGGCACGCTGGCAGAGGTGCAGGAGCAGACTGGCAGATGGCACACTGGCAGAGGTGCAGGAGCAGACTGGCAGATGGCACACTGGCAGGCAGAGGTGCAGGAGCAGACTGGCAGATGGCATGCTGGCAGAGGTGCAGGAGTAGACTGACAGATGGCACGCTGGCAGAGGTGCAGGAGCAGACTGTCAGATGGCACACTGGCAGGTAGAGGTGCAGGAGCAGACTGGCAGATGGCATGCTGGCAGAGGTGCAGGAACAGACTGGCAGATGGCAGAGGTGCAGGAGCAGACTGGCACATGGCATGCCAGCAGAGGTGCAGGAGCAGACTGGCAGATGGCACGCTGGCAGAGGTGCAGGAGCAGACTGCACTGGCAGATGGCACACTGGCAGGCAGAGGTGCAGGAGCAGACTGGCAGATGGCATGCTGGCAGAGGTGCAGGAGCAGACTGGCAGATGGCATGCTGGCAGAGGTGCAGGAGCAGACTGACAGATGGCACACTGGCAGAGGTGCAGGAGCAGACTGGCAGATGGCATGCTGGCAGAGGTGCAGGAGTAGACTGACAGATGGCACACTGGCAGAGGTGCAGGAGCAGACTGGCAGGTGGCATGGCAGAGGTGCAGGAGCAGACTGGCAGATGACACACTGGCAGAGGTGCAGGAGCAGACTGGCAGATGGCACACTGGCATGGCAGAGGAGCAGACTGGCAGATGGCATGCTGGCAGAGGTGCAGGAGTAGACTGACAGATTGCACGCTGGCAGAGGTGCAGGAGCAGACTGTCAGATGGCACACTGGCAGGTAGAGGAGCAGGAGCAGACTGGCAGATGGCATGCTGCAGAGGTGCAGGAACAGACTGGCAGATGGCACGCCGGCAGAGGTGCAGGAGCAGACTGGCACATGGCATGCCAGCAGAGGTGCAGGAGCGGACTGGCAGATGGCACGCCGGCAGAGGTGCAGGAGCAGACTGGCAGATGGCACACTGGCAGGCAGAGGTGCAGGAGCAGACTGGCAGATGGCACACTGGCAGGCAGAGGTGCAGGAGCAGACTGGCAGATGGCATGGCAGGCAGAGGTGCAGGAGCAGACTGGCAGATGGCATGCTGGCAGACGTGCAGGAGCTGGATACTGGCAAGGATCAGCTGGTTCAGGTGCAAGAGGAAGAGCAAGGCAAGCTCAGACAGTCTGGGTTGGCAACTAGCAAGCAGAGCAAGCATAAACAGTAGGCAGAAGAATAGTCAAGGGCCGGCCAGGAGTTGGTACAGGCAGCATTCAGGCAGAGTCAACAACAGACCAGGTCAGCAACAGAAGATGAACACAGGAAAAGGATGCACAGATGCAAAAACGTAATAGACCAAGCGGCACTAATACAAGGCACTAGCCAAGCTTAAATAGCCCACTGGCCCCAATGCACCATCCCACATGCGCACACACACGCACCTGCTAATCAGCCACGAGCAGGGCTTACAAGGGTTTTGCGCCTGCACATTCCCTGACAAGCGCCAACAGTTTGCAAAGCACTTTACAATATAAAGGGAGACAGTACTTTAAAAAAAAAAAAAAAAAATTCAAGATTATTAAGAGGGTCCTGCTCATAAGAGCTTGCAATCTAATAGGATGGATATGGGGTTACCTTAGATTAACATGAGGAGGTTATGTCGCAGCTGTCTTAACACTTAACAGAGCCTACAGTAGATGGATGGGATACATTTTTCTATATACATTTTCTATAAAATTAAAACTAAAGGTCTGATAAAAATTGATGTGCGGTCCATGATGTGATGATGTGAGAGTAATAAATAAAATTACAGCCCCATCTCACCAAGTCCACGCACCCTGTTAGGATAGATACCACCGGAAGCCGGCTGTTTTATAGTTTTTTGATCTGGCTGATGATTTTCTGTTCTTTCATATACAATTTGTTGGTACTTTTTTTATTTATTTATTTTTATTTTTGAAATCCAAAGCAGAATGTGTGGACTGTGAAATGATGTGTCCCTTTTCCTTGTAAGTGCAGTGGTAAGCTGAAGAAAACTTTGGATTTACGGACATCTCCGCATCACCACACGATATTGTTATCATATATTACGTTGTGAATTTGGAAAAATATGTAAGATGGAAAATAAGGACTTGTGTTATCTAACTAAAACTAACAAAACAGCAAACAAAGAGAAATTATAATATTGCCAGAGAAAGGTTATCTTTCTAGAACATGTCACTGGAGTTTTTACACAAAGAGCATGATAGGAAAAAATAAGCCATTGAGATATATTTCATGCAAACTGGACCCAGTAATGACAGGTTCACCCAGCTATATCAGAGCAGTAGCTGTATGCAAGGTGCTACTAGACAAAGGTACAGGCATTATGTTGGTCAATTATTCAACTTTAATCGTCCCACATTTTGTGCAGCAATTATTGCAACCAGGCCAACTAAATATTTGTCTAATGCAAGGTTCACAAAATATGAATTTGAATTGTTTATATTTGTACATAAATACATTTCTTTGTCTCCAGTCTCCTCCAATATAGGCAATAAGGTGGCTAGCTACAGAGGCTGGAGACAAAGAAAAACCATGTGTTAAAAAAAATGTAGGAATCAGCTGCTGTGAGCCCCATGAGGACACACTCCTTGAAGACCCAGATATTTGATTTTTTGTAGACTTGATCCTGGGTTGTATACAGAGGATGGCTAGATGCATACTGAATATGCAGTTATCACCCAGAAGGACCCTCTGTACTCAGAGTCAATGCATTCTTCCCCAGCTCATCAGCCTTCCAGCTTCTTGCTGAGGTAGCCATACTAACATTAAAACGTACACCAGGTGACTGAATGCTGCATTACAGCCCCGGACACTTGCTGGGACTGTGCAACTCACAGATTCCACCCTAGTTCTGGCCCAGTAGAGCTGGGATTAATAATTAAACTTTGAGGATCCCAGAACATGAAGAACAAATGGTCCACAGTGGGGGGCAACTTCCTATGAAACAGAACTTTGGAAAAAGGTGATCTTTTAGGTCTTCCCTTGACACATGGACCGTGTCATCAGTCAGAAGCAATTATAGCTGCCTTGGTAAATGAGCGTGGGATAGCGTCAGGGTTAACCACTGTTGTTATTGAATATACTGCTCCTTGTCTTACCTGTTACCAAATGTGTTACCAAAAACAACATCCCTTCCAGAGATTACAAAAGGATATATCCAGATGCCCAAGTTAGGATCTTACTAGTATGCGCTGCTCTGTATGGACATGTTTTCTGAATGGCCAGAAGTTTGTCCAGTGGCAAATGCTACTGTAAAGGCCACAGCAGAGTGTTATCAGAAGTGGTTTGTATTAGAGTAACAGGGGTACTTGCTTTATAGGTGGGTTCTTACAAGAAGTTTGAGGTTTTATTTTACACCCCCTACCATCCACAATGTAGTGAAAAAAAGTAGAGTAACTAAGGGGATGTCAGAAACTAGAAAACGATGGCCTTAATGTCGTCATATATTTTAATCCCCTAAGGGGATATGTGGACTCTCTCCCTATGGGATTTAGTTTGGAAGTGTGTTGCTCACTTGCTTATATCTTTCTCAGCAGCTGCGGTCCTCCACTGGGATCTCAGAAAATGTTGCTGATCTCTTAAGGTTTTGAAAAACTAATTTATGTATTTTCTCCCCAAATTCCAGATCCTAACAGTTTGGAAGGATCTCATAAACTAAAGCCAGGTGACTTGTGGATTGTTAAGAGACATTTATAGTATATACTGTATATAGGAAATGGTTGGAGGCACAGTACAGCTTCTATTTCATGTACAGTTTACAACACTTGAAGGAAAAGTCACCTGGATCCACACCAGACACTACAAAAATAACTAAATGAAAGTATTTCTGTGTTTAATTTGGTTTCCTCTTGGAATCAGTCTGGGGTACTATTTATTCAAATGCTTTAATACAGTGGTCTCCAAACTGCGGCCGATGGGCCAAATGTGGCCCTTTGCTAGCCTTTATCCAGCCGTTGGGGCTCTATTCTTCCTACTGACACCAAGATTAGGGGGCCTAATTCCTTCCACTGACACCAACGATGGGTCATTGATTCCTCCAACATGATATCAATAATTGCCATTATTCCTTCTACTGACCAAAGGTGCTATGTAATTTCTATACTCCCACTGACCACAAAGCCTAAGGCATTGTTTATTTCCACAAAATCCTGGAGAATTTCTACCCCCACTGGCCAAAATCCAGCCCTCCTAAAGCCTGAAGAACAGTTAACTGGCCCTTCAGTCAGAAAGTTTGGAGACCACTGCTGTAATAAATATATTAGTAAGGAATATATGTAAATTTATGTGATTTGAAAAGTAGATCAGCCATGTTGAAGTCATATTGTCTTTTATATGTCTTCTAGTTTATGTAGTATTGTCTGTGTTTAACTATGCTGATAGGTCAGCATGTCCACAAGTAAGCTACATGACCATTTTGGCCACAGGATCTGAATGTACAGACCATTTACTCTGTAAACATTTCTTATCAATCATTTGTTTTTATGTAAGTTTTAGTCACAATACAAGGCCATTTTGTAATGATATACTGTAGTTGCTCTCAGCTTTTAGATGGTCCCCAGTGGAGTTTGCCTCCTAGATCAGGACTAGTTCCGCCTAAATGTAAGGTGGTTCCAGTTTAAAGGTGATAGTAGGTGTGGTCTGTGATCAAAATGTAAAATACTGATCAAAAGAGGGGAGATTGTTAAGAAAATTCGTAAATTCTGTATAAAATTGTATTCTATTTTGTATGCTTTGTCTATGTATTGTACACTGCCCTCATTGTGTACACGGCGCTAATAATGTTTTGATTATGTGTTTGCATTCCTTCAAGTCCTGATTAGAAATTAGCCTGTCTATGTAATGCCCCTTGTTACCATAAAAGTACAATTGTAATATTAATGTGACACCTACGTAATCATGTGTATAAAAAAAACTTCAAATGCACAGAATAAACAGAACAGTGATTTGGAAAGATACTAAGTGTATCGTTTTGTGTTTCTTCTCTTGGAACCAAATTATATAAGTG